GAGGCTGTGGGAACTGCCACCTGCCCCCAGGCTCCTGCAGCCCTGGACCCTCACTGCCCTGCTGCCCTGGGTCTTCTGCAGCCTGGCTGGGCCAGGGTTGTGGGGCTGAGGACATGGTAACAGAGGTGTGAGCTGGGTATCCCCTAGCTGGCCTGGCTCCCTCCCAGAGGCATGGCCATGTCTGTGCTGAGTGGGACCTGCCGAGGGGCCATGACAGACTCTGGGGCGGGAAGCTGCACACGACTCTGGGGCTCTTCGCTGGGAGTGACAGACTCACACTGGCTTCGGCTGAAAGGGGTGTTGTCTGCAGCCATCCTGCCCTGAGCGTGCCAATCTCAGCCAAAAGGGGTGTTGCTTGTCCAGTGTGTTTGAAATGTCTGGAGGTTGCTGGAGCTTCAGGCACAGCTGGCTCCGGGGGCTCGGGGGTGTTGTCAAGCCTCTGCCTCTCCAGTTCTCCATGTTGGCTTTGTTTTCAAGTGGGCCCTCCTTGTGGTGGCTCAGGGGTCTGCCAGCCCGAGGAGAGCCCCTCTCTCTGTGGGTCCTCCCTGGGGTGGTCTGGGGCACCGGGTGTGGGAGTCTGTGTTGATTAGCCACAGCTGGGTCATGGGGCCCGAGGGCGGGGGAGGAGGCATGGCCCAACAGAAGCAGGAAGCATGGCGGGGCCCCTCTTCTTCAAAATGGGCTGACAGCCCTACTCTCCACCCAGGGGGCTCACAAGGGTTCCCTGGGACTGCAGTTCCCCAGGAAAAGGGGCCTTGATTTGCCATGTGGATGCCCCTGTCCCTGCTCCTGGTGACTTTGGAGTTCAGACAGGACCAGTGGCGCGTGGGTGGGGGTGACAGGAAGGCAGGGGCTTGGCTTCACCCAAGGGAGGACTTGGAGCCAGATGAAGTGCCAGTGCTGGAGCAGACTGCCCTGAGAGGTGGTGAGCTCCCTGCTGCTGAGGGGTGCAAGACAGGCAGCAGGGCCATTAGCTGGAGAGGTGGCAGAGGGGCCCTTCATCCAGGAACTCAGAGGGGCCCTCCGTTGCCAGCTGAGTCCGTGATGGTAGAACGGGGAATTGGGTAGAGGGACCTGAAGCCCTCCCTAGGGGAGGCGCCTAGGGAAGAGCTGCCTGGCCTGTGGAGCTACCCTCAGGGGAGGCTGGAGTGGTTCTCAAGGGACTCACATAGCCCTTCCTCCCAACCTGCTCTGCCTCACCCTGCCTGGGTGTTCAGGAGCTTGACGAGGGCCTGGACGGGCAGATGTCCCCGTGCCCCACTGTCCACTGCCCACCTTCCTCCCAGCTGCCACTGCCAGGGCAGTGGCCTAATCAGGTCCTGGAGAGGCACATTTACCAGGCCTGGTCCATGGACCTCCGGGAACCTTTTGGCCACTTCCTCCCTGCATGCCTGGCCAGTCCCACTTTGTGTGTCTGGAAGGGCAGGTGGGCGTCCGGGGGTGGGGGGTGGCGAGGGGTGACTGTGTGTGTGAGAGAGTGAATATGTGTGTGAGCGTGGGTGTGAGTATGTAAGTATGAATGTTAGAGTGTGAGTGTGTGTGGGTGTGTGAGCATGTGTGTATGTATGTGTGTGGATGTGTGTAAGTGTGAATGTGTGTGAGCATGTGTGTGAATGTGTATGTGAATATGCAAGTGTGAATGTGAGTGAGTGTATGTAGGAGTGTGTGAGTGTGAATGTGTGTGTGGAGCGTGTTGAGCATGAGCATGTGAGTGTGGACAAGTGTGTGAGTATAAGTGTGATTGTGTGCGTGCATGAGTGTGGGTGTGTGAGTGCATGTGTGAAAATGTGTGAATGAGTGTGTGTGAATGAGTGTGTGAGTGTGAATGTATGCATGAGTGTGTGAATATGCAAGTGTGAATGTGTGAATGTGAGAGAGTGTGTGAGTGTATGGGAGTGTGTAAGTGTGAATGTGTGTGTTGAGTGTGTGCAAGTGTGTGAATGCAAGTGTGATTGTGTGCAGGTGTGGGTGTGTGAGTGCAAGTATGTGTGAAAGTGTGTGAGTATTAAGTGTGAATGTGTGAGTGACCATGTGTAAGAATGAATGTGTGTGACTATGTGAATGTATGTGTGTATGTGTGTGTGAGAGTGTGAATGTGTGTGGTGTGTAGAAGTGTGTGAATATATGTGTGAATGTATGTGCAAGCATGTGTATGCGTGAGTGTGTGGGTGTGAGTATGACTGGGTGTGTGAGTGTGCATATGAGTGCGTGAGCATGAGTGTGTGTGCATGTGGAAGCGTTTGTGAAAGTGTGTGTGAATGAATGTGTAAGTGTGGATGTGGGTGTGAAGGTGTGTGGGTGTGAGTGTGTGTGCACATGGAAGCGTTTGTGAAAGTGTGTGAATGAGTGTGTAAGTGTGGATGTGGGTGTGAAGGTGTGTGGGTGTCAGTGTGTGAAAGTGTAAGTGTGCATGTGGGTGTGTGGGCGTGAGTGTGGGTGTGACTTGTGAATGTGAGTGGGTGTATGAGTGCACGCTCGTGCTTGTGCACGTGTCCTGGCTGCCCAACTCTGGTCTGGGGGCTTTGCCTGGGGGATGGAGCAGCTGTAGGAGTCAGTCACCCTGTGCACAGGTGTTTGGTGCCCGGCCAGAAGGGTAGGCAGCGTTGCCATTTGTGTGCTTGTGGGATCTGGTTGAGTCCCCTGGTGTCCATGGGGCAGCCTGGCCAGCCCTGGTCCCGGAGCTGACAGTCCCAGGTTTGAATCCAGCCATTCTGCCCACCCTCTCCAGCTGTGTGGCCTTAGGCAACTGCTCTGCTGCTCTGGACTGAGTAGCACCTTGGCCTTGGCAGGCTGTTGAGGGAGTGTGTGTGCAGATGCAGCGGTGACAGGAGCTGCTCGTTGTGTTACTACCACCAAGAGCTATCTTAGGGGCACTCTGGACTGGGCAGGGACCTTATCTTGCCGACCCCACAGTACAGGCCATATACATATGTGGTTAGTCCTCAGCACATGCCTCTCGTGGCAGAAAGACTGGTCCGACTAGATTTAGAGGTTGCAGACCAGTGAGGTGCCCCACTTAAGATTGTGACACTGCTGCCAACATTTAAAGTCACAGTTCCATGTAGGAATCATATCTGTGGCTTGTCCAGGCATTTTGGGTACTTTGGCAGCCCTGGGCCCAACCCCCGAAGGGTTGCTCTTGGTAACACAGGTGCCAGGGCTGTGGATATTGTCTGGTCCCAGAAGCAGCCGGGACCCCTGGCCTGTGACCCTTCCTCCTCCTGCAAACGTGGTTTTTCTGTTCTGTTCCTGGGGCTTGTGGTGAGGAGGAGGAGCGACCAGAGGACACAGGGCCCAAGGTGCTCCTGGACCACGGCAGCTCCAGGGACCCCACACAGTGAGCCCAGGGATCTGGGAGCCCCGCTCTTGCCTTTGGGGGCTCCAGCCTGCCTGGCTACCTTCCGCCTTCCTTTGAAGCTTCTGCTGGCGGCTGGGCATTTGTGCCCGTGACAGCCCTGAGTCACTACACATGTCTTGCAGCCTCCCTGCCATCTACCTCCAGCCCTGTCCTGGCTCAAATTGAGGCAAGCCTGGGGGACATCAGAGGCCTGGACTCATGGTCTAGGGGTGCTCTTGTAATACATAGCTCCTGCTGGGAGTGTGGCAGCTGTTTCCAAGCCCTAGTTGCTGGGTCTAGAGATGGCAGGTGTTTTGGTAACCTTCTCCCTTTGGAGACTCAGGAGAGAGACCGCCGGGCTGGCATGAGGAAAGTGTGGGGACTGGAGGGCCACACATGGGATTAACAGGGCTTTGTGGAATCAGTGAATGAGCTGGCAAAAGAATGGTGCTGGGGAAAGAGGGAGCCCATCGGGACTGAGCATGGCAAGCCTAGGGTGTGCTGCCAGTGTTGCCACCAGAGCCTGCTGCGTTCCCTTTCTGATTCACTTTCCTTTCTGGGAAGTGAGGCTTGCAGACGTCTTAAAATTGTGTCAGTGGCCCTTTAAGAAAACGCCGTCTTATGTGGAAGATTACGGTAACATAGATACAGGGATGCCCTGGCTGTGGAGCATGGGGACCCAAGCTGTGCCCCTCCGCTCCCCATCCTGTCTGGGCCCCGAGGCATGTCCTCAGACCCCAGGATAACACTTTGGAGCCCTCTGGACCTGGAGGCACAAGGTTCACTGAAAAAAGCCCAGAAGTCCAGTGAATGTGGTGTTTGCACCAGGACGGTGGAACAGAACACAGCCTGGAAGCACGTGTGGGTCCCACCTAGGACAGAGGTGGCGTCCCTGGAAGCCAGCGGGAAAGGAGGGTTGGCTCAATGCACACAGCCGGGTCGTTAGACATGCACTGGGAAAAAAGGAGTGAGCCCCAATCCCCACCTCACACTGTACCTGCGTGCATCCAGACAGGTGGGAGACCGGCGTGTGGAAATGGGACCGTGAATTCCTGGAGCAACCCTGTCCTGGGGACATGTCTGTGACCACAGATGTACACCTGTGCTGTCCAGACAGTAGCTGCGGCCACCTGGGGCTGCGGAGCTCTGGAAACGGGACCCATGCAACTGAGGGACTGATGTTTTAATGAATTTAAATTTAATATAAAATAGCCCCATGTGGCTAGTGGCTCCTGGATGGGACAGCACAGTTCTAGATGACAGGGAATCAGCTTCACGTTGTGGGTTAGGCCCAGCCTTGAACAGGCCATGAGAGTGAGGTCAGGGTCAAGACGGATAAAGAGCTGCAGGCCTGTAAGGCCGAGCCCGCACCCCCCATTACTAGTCCCCCACCCCCCGCTTTGGCCCATTGGGTCAGGCTCTGGGTCTCTTTGTCTCTGCAGAGCTGAGCCCCCGCGTGTGGTCTGCCTGTCCCGGACGCTCAAGAGGACAGCAGAGAGTGAGGCCTACGCCAAAGAGGGCACATCCGTGTCGCTCATGGAGCTGCAGGCCTGGGGGGTCTCTCCCCAGCCCCCCTTGCCCACCCTGGAGGGGCCCGAGGCCTAGGCCCACCCGAGGGTGACAGCCTGCAGCTGCCTGCAGGACAGTCAGGCCAGGGTGGAGGATGCCGGCCAAGGGGCGCTACTTCCTCAACGAGGGTGAGGAGGGCCCAGACCAAGACGCACTCTACGAGAAGTACCGACTCACCAGCCAGCATGGCCCGCTGCTGCTCACGCTGCTGCTGGTGGCTGCGGTTGCCTGTGTGGCCCTCATTGCCATCGCCTTCAGCCGTGGGGTGAGTGGGACTCCTGGGCCACGGGGCTTCCCTGGGCAGCGGCTCAGCCCGACACATGCTTCCGAGACCTCGGGCGAGCCTCAGTTTCTTCCTCTGTGAAATGCCATGGGGCACATTTGGCTGGTGGAAGATAGGGTTCCAATTTTAATTTTAAGTTTTTTTAGAGATGGGCTCTCCCTGTGTTGTCCTGGTTGGCTTCAAACTCCTGGGGTCAAGCAGTCTCCCTGCCTTGACCTCCTGAGTAGCTGGGACTATGGGTGTGTACCACCACACCTGGCTCCTCTAATTTTAATTTAATTTTGAAGTCTGAAGTGCTTTTAGATACTACATTAACTTGGTCACACACATAAATTACTCCTTCATTTTTCTGTGCGATGAAATTCAATTCCACTGAAGACTTGAGTCAAGGATGGCCTGTGAGTCTATGGCCTGTACCATGGCAGACATCGTTAATCAGTCCCCACACTCCTCACTGAGCTTGGCTGTGGTCTCAGAATCCTTTTTTTATTTTTATTTTTTGTAAAGATAAGGTCATGCTACGTTTCCCAGGCAGGTCTTGATCTCCTGGCCTCAAGTGATCCTCCTGCCTCAGCCTCCCAGAGAGTTGGTATTACAGGCATGAGCCACTGTGCCTGGTCTCAGAATCCTTAACACAGCTCTCCAGGCAGGCCCCACTCACATCGTCTCTGACCCAGGCACTTGCCCTGCTGCAGCTACTCGCTGTGTGTGGCCACTGAACACTTGAAATGTGGCTAGTCTGATTGAGGGTCTGCATGTTTCATTTTCTTTTTAATTAACCTACATTTACTTACCAGAGGCTACAGGGTGTTCATGTGTGTGGAGTGGCTGACACCCGACAGGTGTTCAGGGCTCTTGGATCCATGGGACTTGCTCCTGTCATCAGCAGATGGGGACTCGGGCTGCTGGGTGCCAACCCTAGGTCAGGCCTCTGCTCTCACAGCGCCCGGGGTCTGCCATGCTCCCTCCTACCACCCGGACTCCTTGCTTGTGGGGGGTACTTTTTCTTGGCGCCCCTCGGAGCCTCTGTGTACTCAGTCAGGAGCAGAGCCCTCTTCCTTGGGCAGCCCTACCCTGTGCTTTCACAACTGTGCCGTGCCTGTCGCCTGCAGTGTGGGAACCTGGGGAGGTAGAGGCCGGCCTGCTGCCTGGGAGGGGCTCGGGGAGTGATGGCACCACAGAGCAGGACTGCCAAGGGTGCCCAGTCTCTGGAGGTGCCTGGGCAGTGGGGGAGGCACGGAGGCACCGGCAGAGATGACAGTGTTAGAGGGAGCGGCACATCCCCCACATGGAGACTGGGCAGCCAACCAGGACAGGCTTTCTGGAGGAGGTGGTGCCCGCCCTGGGAGAGTGGAGACATTTCATGCCTGTTCGTTCTGCCTAGGACCCCTCCAGACACCAGGCCATTCTGGGCACGGCATTCCTGGCGCTCACCGTGTTTGTGGCTCTCTATGTGCTGGTGTGTGTTGAGTGGCTTCTCCAGCAGTGGCTCCGGGCCCTTGCGCTGCTCACCTGGGCCTGCCTCCTGACGTTGGGCTACGGGCTGGTGTTCGACTCGTGGACAAAGGTGGCCTGTGCGTGGGAGCAGGTAACGTGGTGGGGACGCTGGCGTTTCAGGGATGGGGGCTGCCAGCCAGCAGTGTGCTCGGCAGCTCCTGCCTTTGGGGGGCGTCCAGGCCCCTCTGTAGAACGGCCTGTGCTGGTGTGCGGCCACAGCCTTTCCCCCACCCACCTGCTGCCATGTGTCTTGGGTGGGCTGGGCCAGGTTTGTCTCCCCTCAAGTTCTTTGTCCCCATGGGGATGAGTCAGGGGAGTGTCCATGTAACGTCTGGCTGTGGCACTTTTGGGTGGACCCTGGTTCATTTAGAGATGACAGAACTCCAGCACAAAGAGGCAAAAGGGACAGCCTGCTCGCGTGCCAGGAAAGGCCGTGGGCCAGCCCAGGGTCCAGTAGGATGGCCGGAGGCTGCTGCCCCTTGACTCTGCTTTCCTCTGTGTTGTTTCCTTCCTGGGACACTATCCCCAGGTGGGGGCAGGGAAGGCCACAAGGGTTCCAGGCTGCCCCCTTCAGCTTAGCCACCCCAGCTGAAAGAGAGAGAGCCCTTTCTCAACCAGCTGGAGTCCCAGGCTTGAATGCTTTGGCCTATCACATGCCCAGCCTTGGATGGTGACCACCACCAAGTGGCGGCACACTCTGACTGCCGGGCCTGGGTGCTGTGACGCCTCCTGTGGCTGGCCCGGAGTGCACTGGGAAGGCCCAAGGAAGCCATAGGACTGAGGGCTCAGAGGGAGGGGTGCTGCTCTGGGAGGGAGGTGCAGAGCAGTCTGGTGGAGGGAGG